GCTGGGGATCTCGGATTCCCAGGGGGAAACATCTCCCCAGGGTTGTGGGATCTCGGATTCCCAGGGGGAAACATCTCTCCAGGGCTGGGGATCTCAGATTCCCAGAGGGAAACATCTCCCCAGGGTTGTGGGATCTCTCCAGGGGCTGCTCCTGACTTTGTTCCACAGGAGGCCCCGGAGCTGCTCCAGGGCTGGAGCCAGGCTGGGAGAGCTGGGGGTGCTCACCTGGAGAGGAGAAGGCTCCAGGGAGAGATCAGAGCCCCTTGCAGGGCCTAAAGGGGCTCCAGGAGAGCTGGAGAGGGACTGGGAATGAGGGGTGGAGGGACAGGACATAGGGAATGGCTCCCACTGCCAGAGGGCATGGATTGATGGGATATTGGGAAGGAATTCCTGGCTGTGAGTGTGGGGAGCCCTGGCACAGGGCTCCCAGAGAAGCTGTGGATTCCTGGCAGTGTCTAAGTCTTATGTTTCTTTGAAGTTAATGTTATCTTGAGCTCTTTGGGTGCGGAGATCCAAGTGTCAGCCTGCCAAAATCCCAAAGGAATTCTCATGCTGAGTTTCATTTCAGATCCTCTTTGGTCACGATAGATGAGGATTTGTGGCATAGCTGTGTTAAACAGTGATTTTATTCCATTTCTTTTTGTACTCCACCTCCTTGAACTTCTCTCTGTGCCTGTTGGGCTGCTCCCAATTCCCCATTCCCAGTGTCCCCAGACATGGCACAGTTGGCCCTGGAGCTGAGGCCCCTGTGCTAGTCCCAGGTGATGCCACAGCCTGGGAGGTTCAGCTCCGAGTCTCGTTTTCCCTTTTACACTTACGTAGGCTCCTGTATTTAAAAAAGGCTCTGTTGACCTTGGCAGGCTAGACAGGGACAGCCCAGAGATGGAATTCTTAGAGCTGGGACCAAAATTATGCCAAAATTTAGAGGAATTGCTGCAGTTTGTAACAAGCAGCACTTTCACTCCAGCCTGGAGGAGTGGGCAGTGTTTGACAGAGCTGGGGAAGGGGCTGGACCACCTGGAGGGGCTGAGGGAGCTGGGAAGGGGCTCAGCCTGGAGAAAAGGAGGCTCAGGGGGATCTTGTGGCTCTGCACAACCCCTGACAGGAGGGGACAGCTGAGGAAGTTGAGCTCTGCTCCCAGCGAACAGGACAGGACCCATCTGTGTATATGTGCAAGAAAACAAGATAGATTTGTATAAAAATATAAATTTGTTTATTTGTTTTATTGTGTATATATATATGTATATATACATATATATATGTCCACCATTTTTTAAATTTATATAATCCACTTTTCTGATCACTTCCCTTTCATTTCTTCCTGTGTTTGCTGCCTGTCCCACACTTTTTAGTGTTATTCTGTCCCATACATTGATTCCTTGCTGATGCCATCTTCCATCCCAGACCCTGCAGAAGGATGAGCTGTGTCAAGCAACCTCTCAGTTTCCTGTTTTCCCTCTCCATGCCTGCTTCCCAAATGATTCCAGTCGAGGAGTTGAGAGCAGCCCACACGCTGAAAATGAAGGCATGGTTCTCCTCCTCGTGCTAGAAAAGCAGGAGCAGATGTTGCCCAAACCTTCTAGACATGATTTGCTGATTTCCATGATGTCCCAGCTGGATGTCAGCCCTGGCTGCTGGGATCATGCACAGCAAAAGACAGAGAAACAGGAGAGGAAGCCTCAAATTTGCCACAATTTGTGGTTGGTTGCTGATCTCCCAAAGCATTGCCCAGTTGTGGGACAATTTTTGGTTATGTCAAAATCCATGAACACACCAAAGGATAGGAGGAGGTGAGCTGCTCTTGATTGAGAGTTACTGAGGAAGAAAAAAATCACCAGAACTGCAAGGATTTGGTTTGGAAATAGTAACATAAAAACTAATTATGTCAGAACATGATGAAGTTTTGCACTCTTCTAGTCCAGGCCTAGAGCCTACATATTCCCACTGCTGTGGGAATTTGTAGGCTTGGCTTAACTTTTTTTTCTTTTATCAGTCTCCCACTTTTCTGGGGCAGCACCAAATTCACTTCCAAATTAATAGGAATAAACGCAGGGAAGATGGCTCTACATAACAGTGTTGCCTTTGATTCACAGAGCTGTTTTCACAGAATAATTCATCATTTTTCACGTGAGATAAAGTTATTTATTAAAACATAACCTGGGCATGAGGCCAAAACACAGCTCCTGGCAGTCATACCCCAACTTGTATTTTTCCAGCACATTGACTTCAGGTTTTATTTAAACTTTTATAGCAATTTTTTACAGATCTTCTGTCTCTTAAGAATTTTTGTAATAAACTGCAGCAAATCTGCTGTGTGGAATACACCAGCTAGAAGGTGGATTTGTGACTTTATTTTGTTAAACTTCAAATATTTCTATTGCAGATTTATTTTATAACTTATGGTCACAGGTACATTAATCTTTCAGTAGCATAAATTCGCTTTTTTCCAATAAACTGTTTTTTGTGCCATTGCAATGACATCTCCAAAGTACTTTAGTCACAGATTATGTGAAAAATTGATTTTATAACTGTCCATCAGTAGAGCTGGAGCTTCCAAAATCTTATGCAGTACTTTTTAAAGTCCAGGTGCTTGTGCTTGAACAAAGCTGAGTTACTTTCCCTAACAATAAGTAATAAAAAACACACACTGGAAAATATTGACCAGCTCATTTTTATTGTTATTTTTTCACCAATTTTTAGCAGCTGCTGTAATGCCAGCTGGAATTTGTTTTACCAGGTCAATGCTGATGCAGAAAAGGAGGAAGGTGAAGAGTTTGAAGACAGCATGGATGTTTTTGATGACAGCAGTTCTAGTCCTTCTGGTACTCTCAGAAATTACCCTCTCACCTGCAAAGTTGTTTATTCCTATAAGGTTAGTGATTTTTTTTTATCAATTATATAAAAACAAATAATAAATGTGCCTTTGGGAGCTTGAGCTTTGCTTTTTTGGTAGGGTGAGATTCAGGGAGGTTCTCAGGCAGAAGGGCTTTTGTGAATGGCAAAACCTTCAGTGGGATGTTATAAATCATGTTAAAGCTTGCAGTTTTTTAACAGACATCACTTCTAATGAAAGTCTAGGTCGGAACGTTCTCTCCACTGCCCATGCCTTGCCCTGAAAGCCACTTTTCTTTTCCATCCTTCCTGTCCTACATTCCAGGCTTCCCAGCCAGATGAGCTGACCATAGAGGAACATGAGGTGTTGGAGGTCATTGAAGATGGAGATATGGAAGACTGGGTAAAGGTATCATTTTCTGGGCTTGTTTCCATGTACTCTTTCAGGATACAAGTTGGGATGAGAGGGAGTGCTGGGGTTCTCTCCAGAGCAGTGCTCCCAAGCAGAGAATGCTCCTGTTGTTGGTTCACAGGCACGGAACAAGGCGGGGCAGGTGGGATATGTGCCAGAGAAGTACCTGCAATTCCCAACCTCCAGCAGCCTCCTGAGCATGCTCCAGTCCCTGGCTGCGCTGGACTCCCGATCCCACACCTCCAACAACTCCACGGAGGCCGACCTGGTGCCAGGCAGCCTCAACGGAGACTCCAATGGTAAATCCCACTTAAAAATACCTAGGATATCAAGCTGTCTCTTGGAAACACTCTGGACATTGAGTCTGGGAGATTTTCCCAGATTTCATGGAATCACAGAATCATTAAGGGTAGAAAAGACCTCCAAGATCATGAAATCCAACTCTTGACCAAATTCCACCATACTGCAAAGTTTACTCATTTTTTAATTCTTCCAGGCATGGGAACTCCACCATTTCCCAGCCTGTTCCAATGTTTTATTATTCCAGGGAAGAGATTTTCCCTAACATCCAACCTGAGCCTCCCCTAGTGCAATTTGAGGCCATTTTTTCTTGCTTTATCTCTGGTTTCCTGGGAGAAAAGGCCCCACCTGGCCACAACATCCTTTCAGGGTGTTGCAGAGAGAGACTGACCCGTATCTGAACACTGCCATTTCCAGTAATTATCTCAGTAATTATCTCTCTCATATTAAATCTGCACAATTCACCTCCTTAGCTCATACAGCTGAGATTAAAATTAAGGAAAACTGGAATAATCTGTCTCATCAATAACAGAATCTTTAAAAGAACTTCAAAATCACCAGCTCCAGCTATCAAACTTGGTATATACTTACGTTTTTTCCTTAGCTCATTGGGTTTTTCCTTTTCTATTTTGCAGTCTGTTTTGTAAAAGCACTTTATGATTATGAGGGGCAGACAGATGATGAGCTGTCCTTCCCAGAGGGAGCCATCATCCGTATCCTGAACAAGGAAAACCAGGATGATGATGGCTTTTGGGAAGGAGAATTCAACGGCCACGTCGGGGTCTTCCCCTCAGTGTTGGTTGAAGAGCTCACGGCCTCAGAGAATGGAGAGACTCAGTGGATTGGGGATATCCAGGTATGGAAAGAGGTATTGGCTTGGTTTATTATTTGCAAAGTTCTGTCACTTCTTCAGGGGAAAAAAATTGAAACCAGTTTAAGAAAAAAAAATCAGAAACTATTTTAAAGAAAAATAACCAACCCAAGCCCTCACTGCTTGCATTTTAGTTTCTTACCCATCGTAATAATGTTCAACTGATGTAGTTTTGCAAATTCATGAGTGAAGGCAAATATTTGGATAGAAAGCAATCAAAGGAGAAAATTCACAGTTTACTTCCTGTCATTAATTTATGAGACACTGAGATGTCAGACACAACCTGGCAAAAAGAGAATTACAGGCTCTTTCAGCCCTAATTTAGTGTTTTCATACTTAAATCTGTTCTGTATTCTCTCAATTTTGAGGGGCAGGATACTGCCAAGTTTTGGATTACAGTAATTTCTGCAGAAATCTCCTCATTTCTACAGTGTAGTTCTCTAATCCTTATATCGTATTAGAAAATCAGACACATTCCATTGTGGAGTTCGGAGATAGAAACTGCACTTATATGTTTTCTACAACAGGATTTTTCAGTATTTTTATTCCTTGATTTAGGAAGACCACTAAAATGAACATTTACATGCATTTGGGATGGGGATAAAGCTCATGATCCCAACACTTCTGTGTGAATCCCACTTGGCTGAGCAGCCTTTTTGTTTTGAATGACCTTCAGAAATCCTCTCTGAATTACGTGGAGAGGCTGAAAATTTTTCTTCAGTGGCAACCTGTGATTTTAAAAAATTGAATCCCTGTTGGATACCTTGTCTTTTCTTCCCAAACTTTCCTGCCAGATGCTTTTCTTCTGGAGGGAACTTGCTGGAGTAGGGATGGGTTGGAAAACTGCTCTGTGTGTGTGTTAAATGTGCTGAGAAGGATGTGCTGCAGCCTCTCCCTCTTTTTGGCACAGGTGTCCCCTACTCCAAAGGCCAACAACTCTCTGCCACCACTGCCTCTGTACGACCAGCCTCCCACCAGTCCCTATCCCAGCCCGGATAAAAGAGGATCCCAGTTTTTCCCCAGGTCTCCGTCGACGAACGGTGAGAAATTCGCAAACATTTTGTGGAAAGGCTTCATTTAGAAGCCTTTCAGAGTGAGGGCAAAAAAAGAAAAAAAGAGCATTTTTTACAACATAAATTCAGGAATACTGAGGGGCTTCTTTGTAATAGGGTGTTGCTTATTCCCTCAGAAAACAGCTTTGGTTCAGAGTCCCCTGGATTCTCCCAACCTCCACGAATTCCTCCAGAAAGTTCCTATGGCAAACTGCGGCCTGTAAGTGACCAGCAAATCCTGTGGTTTTTATTGATGCTCAAAGGGAAACAGCCCCTAAACAGCGCTGAAAAAGAGGTGGGGGTAAATGCCAGAAAAGGTCAGTCCTGTGGCTTATACAGTTCCTGCTTTCCAGCAGTTTCCAGCATCTTTGGGATTCTGTTTACTTCCACCCCTTTGGTTTGAGGGGTTTGGATTCATGATTCCTAATGATGAGGGTTTTGTGTTGTCCTTGCTGCCTAGAAAAATGAAATTTGCCAGAAAAGGAAGGGAAGAATTAAATCACTTAGAACTTGACAAAATCCATCTCCTGCGATTAACTTTGAAATCAAGTTTTGAGGTTTCCAAAGCCCTAAACCAAATTATACTAAAACATAACATTTGTCTTTTCCTGGCTTTCTCAGTGAACGAGGTTGCAGAAAAAAGAGCATTTTTGGATATTCAAATAATATATTCTGAATATTGAGGTAATATTTGGCAGTTTGGCGCATGGTTGCTCCACAGTTTGTGTTTTCCAGAGCAAGTCTGGTGTATTCTGAAATGATATCCTAAAAACCCTGTTGGCACTAAAGGTGATCTCTGTCAGGAGCAATGTGGCAGAGTGTGAGAATAGATCACATTTTGGGTGTGTATTGTTGAGGTCAGTGATTGATGATGTATCAGTGAGTCATCAGGTGCAGCAAAACATCCTGGTAGTCTCCACTCCACAGAAATTCCAGGCAAAAGCACCGTCAGATTCAGCATGTGATGAGCCTTGCCCAGGTTTCCATCCTGGCTCATCCTTGGAATAAATCTGGGATCACACCCTGGAGGGAATCTGGGACGGGTCATAAGGAAAATCCCTGATTGAATTGGGGAGCACTGGAGCTGCATCCAGCTGGAGTGTTGTGGTTTGACATGGAAAAAGAATTTTCTTGGCAGGAAGAGGTCAATCCAGTCAGGGGTCAGGGTTGGATATTGACACTTGGAGTGACCAATGGAGGGCGTTCTCTGGGGAATTCTGCTTGTAACCCCTCTGTGTTCTCAGAGGCGTGTCCCCCCCACCCAGCCATGGGCCACACAGCCTGTTTTGTTTGCATCATCTTCAGGGGTGAGCCTGGAGCTCTGTACAGGAAATGTCAAGAGTTTCTGGTGGAATTTGGCCATTTTGGGGTAGTCACGGGCTGGTTCTGAATGTTGCAGGTGCGAGCAGCTCCACCCCCCCCGACACAACACCACCGCCGGCCCACAGAGAAGATCGAGGACGTGGAAATCACTCTGGTGTAACGAGGGGACTGGCTAATTATTACTGCTACAATCAAGGCCAAACACAGCTTTTGGTCAATCTCGTTTTTAGGCACCTTTGCATGATGAAGACTTGGACTAGAGCGAGCGATAGGGAGGATTTTATGTGGCAGTGACCTGGCGGATTCCTTCCCACAGTCATGAATATTTTGTGCCTTTTGTGTTTTTTTTGTTTGTTTGTTTGTTTGGATTTCTCTACATCATTCTTCTCTTAGCACAAACCAAGACAGGCCAAGATTGGCTTTTTTTCTTGGCTGGAGATGCTCCATTTTGATGTGGAGACAAAGAAAGAACCCCATTCATGCAGCTTAGTCTTAGCATCCTTTGCTCCTGTGCATTAGTACAGTATATTACTGTTGCCATAGGAATGTGTTAAAGATTGTGGATCCTTCCAGTAGCATCACCTGCCTGACCAGGTATTCATCAGAAGAATGAAAAAGGGAACAGAAAAAGAAGTCTAAAGGAGAGGCTGGCTCCTCTTGAATCCCCCTGCAGAAAGGAAGAGATGGGAAAATGATCTCCTGGAGAAGCAGAAGTGTTCATTCCATGGGTGCTCCCCTTCTCAGTGATTCACAGCTGAACATTCTGCCTTTGGATTTTTGTGTTTACTCAGTGCATTTACTCATGGAGATGGAGGATCTAACACAGAGGTGCTGAACCAGCAGCAACATTTTTTTCCACAGCAGAAACCAACGGGTAGAAAAGCAAAAAAGCAAGTGAGATTTTTGTCTAGATCTGGAAATTGAGAAATTGAGCTGCTTTTTCTTTTCTTTTCTTCTTCTTTTTT